CCATCCATCCATCCATCCATCCATCCATCCATCCATCCATCCATCCAATGATGTTTGTTAGGAAAAATTCAAGGGAAGGACTATTAGGAAAGCAATGTCAAGGTCCTTAGGACATGCAGGATGTAGATGGAAATCTTTCAGTTATTGTTTCTTCTTACCCCTTTTCCATTCGCTGCATATCCTCTTTGAATGGACCTCTCTGTTCTTTTGTGTCATTTTGTTCCTTTCTCCCCTGTCTGCCAGGCTGTTCTCCGAGGCTTCCCATACTCCCCGGCAGGGAAGAAAGCTGGAGGGGGAGGCACCCTGCTTGGCAGGTTGCCAGGTTTCCTCTCCGATTTTCAGCCGTGGCTTCCCATGAAATTGTTTGGTCTCCATCTGGTTTTCTGTCTCAGTTTCATCCTTTTCTTTCATCAGGGATACCATATTCCCGTCTGCTTAGTACCATATTCCCATTCTGCTTTGGGCACCGAGTGTGTGGTGTAGAAATGTTGGTAATATACGGTAAAAATATTGGGCTAGCAGTGGGGGAACCTATGTTGTAATCCATCCTCAGTTTTGTTGGGATCGGTCCCTCTCAAACTCAGCTCAGCTCATAGTATTGTTGTTGTTGTGTGGATACAATGGGAGGTGGGGATGCTATGTACAGATCTACTTTTGGGTATAAAACTAACAAACATGTTTGGGCCATCAGAATGAAGAAAAATAGCCTTTAGCAAGCACTGTACCTTACTATTTCAGATTTCTCCATTGCCCCTATCCAGAAAATTAAAAGAAAAAAGCTCTTACATTGTTTATCCCAGCCTCAGCACCATTTTTATTCTTATAGTTGCATTACCCCTTATGTAAGGGGAAACTAAAGACTAAAAATATTTAAATAGAACATCTTCTGAATGAAAAGTCAAGAATATTCTTTCCCCTCCGATACATTTATGTGTATGGTTACTGATTTATTTCTTATATGCCGCCCACCTCTCTACCCAAAGTAATTCTCGACAGCTTACAATAGAATAAAAAATATGAATATGAAAGCCATTTAAAATCGTAAGAATGAAATAGAAGGTGAAAACCAGGGGTCCAGCAGTGCTGAGGCAGTGTCTTCTCTGCCACAATCCATACCTTTTCTTGATGTATTGTTGAAATGTAGAAATATTTATTAGTGGAGTCTGAGGTTGACAGATAGATGACAGATGGATGATAGATAGATGGAGAGGGATGGAGACGGATGGATGGATAGATGGATGGATGGATGGATAGATAGATATAGATGGATGATAGATGGATGTTGGATGATGGGAGGGAGGGCGGAAGGAAAGAGATAGAGATTGACAGACAACAGATGGATGATAGATGGATGATAGATGGAGAGGGAGAGATAGATGGATAGATGATAGATAGATAGATAGATAGATAGATAGATAGATAGATGATAGATAGATAGATAGATAGATAGATAGATAGATAGATAGATAGATAGATAGATAGACAGACAGACAGACAGACAGACAGACAGACAGACAGGATAGATAATAGATACTAACAAAGGAAAATATTTGTAGTTCAGGGTTGACATGAGGGGTCCTTGGTGTTCTCTGAATTTGGTGGTTTTCTTGCAGACGTTTCATTACCAAACTAGCTAACACCATCAGTGTTGATGATGTTGCCTATTTTGGGTCATTAAAACATCTAAGAAAACAACCAGATCACCAAGGACTCCACTGTTCAGCGCCTGAGGCCCAAACATTCTCTTCTGTAGAGATTGATTAACATCACCCCATTCCGGGATTGTCCTCTGATATTTTCTACCTAGAAAACATCCACCGATGCTGAGGTGCGGACTCTCGAGCAGTGCATTGCTGAGGAAGACCAACTTTTTCATGCTCAGGAGCATTACAGGGAAGAGTTCAATAACTTGATCCGCATGACCCAGCTCAAGGCGGATGAGCGGGAACAAAAATCGAAGGACTTCTTGAAAGCTCAGGTGAGGAAACTCCAAGGAGCATCTAACTTGGTCTTTCTATCTTGGGTCACCTGGACTTTCCATGCCTCTATAGAGTAGATGTTTAGACTCCTCCATAGTTTCTTCCTGTTCATTTTCATCACTGAAACAAGGGCACACTCCTCTTTCAAATCTAGATGACTGGCAAGTCTAAACTGATATGTAATATCATTGTTCTTCTTCCTCTACTGCATCCACTTGCCATGGGAAATCACCAGAATTGGGACTGCAATGGTAAGTTGGGGTGTTTTTTTCTGTGAGGCCTACCTGTATTAGCTACCTGTATTTGAGATGAGAATAGAGACTGGGGACAAAATATACTTAGACTTCAGCAAGGCATTCGACAGAGTAGACCACAACCTACTTCTTGGTAAGCTAGAAAAAAGTGGGAGAGACAGCATCACCATCAGATGGATTTTGTAACTGGCTGAAACCCGTACTCAATGAATACTCCTTAGTGATACTACATCTACATGGAAGGAAGGAAGGAGTGGAGTGCCACAAGGTTCCGTCTTAGACCCAGAACTCTTCAATATCTTCATTAACGACTTAGATGAGGGAATAGAAGGCGAACTTACCAAATTTGCAGATGATACTAAGCTGGCAGGAATAGCCAACATCCTAGATCTGTGATGGCGAACCTATGGCACACAGAGCCACTTCTGTCAGCACGCTAGAGGTTGCCTGGAAGAGCCCCACTGCACATGCGCGCGCGCCGCCTGCCTGACAGCTAATTGTCGAGTATCTGGCGCGCATGCGTGGGGTGTGGGGGAGATGCGGGGTGCATGGGGGGGTGTCGTGTGTGCATGCGCAGAGACACGCAGCACGCAACGGAGGGTCGTGTGCACATGCACAGGGGACGTGGGGGGTGGCGCACGTTGCCTTCTGGGTGCTGGCATGCAAGTGTGTGCGCGCAATTTTTGGCACAGGAGCCCAAAAAGGTTAGCCACCACTGTCCTAGATGGATCCATCTGGATCTTGACAGACTTGAACACTTCATACATGTCTCTCTTAACAACAGAACTGCTGATAATCTAGGTCAGGGGTGTCAAACTCAAGGCCCAGGGCCCGGATCCAGCCTGTGGGGTGCTTAGATCTGGCCCGCGGGCCTGTCCTGGAAGCAACGAAGGACCGGCCCGCGGTGCCTCTGCCTGCGAAAAGGGAACCCAGGAGGGGCCGCGACGGCCTCCTGCAACTCTCTGTCAGCGAAAACAGAGCTTGAGGAGGCCACACCAGGGGTGGGTTTCTACCGTCCACCTCTGTAGAACCGGTGGCTCTGCTGATGTTTCTACCTCTGTAGAACCGGTTCTATGTCTGCTGATGTTTTTGCCCACCCGCCCACCTGGGCTCTTACCTGATCTTTATTTCCTGATTTTTTCAACTTCAGCTGCCGTGCGAGGCACAGCTGCAGTTAAAAAAGCAGGAAAAGAGGGCTGTTTCAAAGGCTGCTTCTCTGCACACAGCGTGCTGATGACGATTTACAGGCGCGCGGCTCACAGCATGCAGGGAAGTACATCATAAATCACTGAACCTCGTAAATCACCGAACCGACAGTTAACCCTGTCGTATCCCACCCCTGGGCCACACGCAGTCTCCCCAAGCTCCATTATTTATGGTAGAGGGCTGCAGGAGGCTATTGTGGCCAAAAACAGAGTTTGGATCAGCTGCACGCAGCCTCCTTGAGCTCCATTTTCTCTGGCAGAGGGCTAAAGGAGGCCATCATGGCCAAAAATGGAGCCCGGAGGGACAGGGCTGTCGTGGTCGAAAATGGAGCCTTGATGAGTGTCACTGAGCTGGCCATGCCCACCCTGACCAAGCCCTCTGAGCCCCCCTGAGGTCAAACACAACCCTGATGCGGCCCTCAATGAAATCAAGTTTGATACCCCTGATCGAGCTCCATTTTGATTTCTGAGAATACCGTATTCTATTTTTGAAATACAGAACGACGCTCTTGAGTAATCTTTGCCTCCTTGAATTTTAGAAACGGCCTTGCCATTCCAACAACTCCCCAACTATCCACTGCTATTTGTCTTTTGCAGCAGCGCCTGAATAACATCATTGCAGATATAAAAACGAAAGACTTCGAAATTAGGGAGCATACAAAGAAACGGAGAGAGATTCATAGACAGTAAGAGAATTATTTCCATGGGGGTTTGCTGGCATAACGTTGACAACAACAACAACAAAAAGGGAAATTGATACATCAATGTTTTCCTTAAAAAATTTTTTGGATGGGGGTTTTTTTTCAGGATGAAAGAATTTGCCAAACTGTACGACATCGTGCGGCACGAGAGAAACAAGTTGGTGAGCATTGTACACTGCGCTCGCCAGAAAACAAATGAAATTAAAGACAAAGTCAAAATGCTGGATAATGAGATGGAGATCTTAAGGACCAACGCCGTAATTAAGGAAAGGTGAGTATTCAGGAAAACAATTCACCTGAAAAATAATTTTCTTGCTCTTGGTGGCACAAGTGGGGCAAGGTTGACTCAGCCTTCCATCCTTCCGAGGTGGGTAAAATGAAGACCCAGATTGTTGGGGCAAATTGTAAATCGCTTAGAGAGGGCTGTAAAGCACTGTGAAGTGGTATATAACACTGCTCTTGCTCTTCCTTCCTTCCTTCCTTCCTTCCTTCCTTCCTTCCTTCCTTCCTTCCTTCCTTCCTTCCTTCCTTCCTTCCCTCCTTCCCTCCCTCCCTCCCTCCCTCCCTTATTACTTTCTTATTTTCCTTCCTGGTAGCATAGTGGTCAGCAGAATTAACCTGTAGTACTGCGCTCTAACCACTGCGGTGCCACTGCGCCTCTTATGTTTTCGTCGCCTTTAGAAAACTGCAGAAATACCAGATGAAGTATTCCAACAACGTTGCGATCAAGGACAGCATCCAGAGCGATGTTTGCAAGGTTTATCAGACCGTCCAGGACATGAAGGAGAAACGGGAGCAGCAGCTGATGGACGTCGAACGGCTGACCAACACGCTCACCCGGATCGAGGAGGAAATGGTCCAGTTGCGCAAGACATACGAAAAGGCTGTCCAGAGACGAAATGAAAGGTATGGAACCCAAATTATTCCTGAATATACAAAATGTAAAGGAAGAGAAAATAACACCTTTTGATTAAAAAAGCTTTGATTTTACTGGCAATAAATGTACTGTTACGACAGGTAGTCCTCAGTGCTAGGTTTTATCAATGGTTAGAGATAAGAGGTAGAAATTAGATAAAGAAAGATCATTGTTATTTGTAAGTAAAATATGAATGTTCATAATTGTAAGTATGCTAGCAGTGGTGGGATTCAACCAGTTCGCACCACTTGGGCTGAACCGGTTGTTAAATTGATGGCTGGCCCCTCCCCCTCTCTTCCAGGAATCCCCATGCACCCCCTTTTGGCTTCCAGGTAAATGCAGGGAGGCCTACTAGGCCCAAAACGGGATGTGGGGGATGTGGTGTCCCCCCGTGGCCCATTTTTGCTCCCAAGAGGCTGCAGGGAGGCCTACTAGGCCCAAAACAGGACCTGATGGGATGCACTGCACCCCCCCCCCGCGGCCCGTTTTTGCTCCCAGAAGGGTGCAGGAGGCCAAGTGCTGCCTGCCACACCTCCTTGCCACACCCATCATGGCCACGCCCACCCAGCCTGTCATTAGGGCAGAGAACCGGTTGTTAAAGTATTTGAATCCCGCCACTGTACGCTAGTACAATTAATATGATCATAAATAAGCTAATACAATTATAAGCATGGTTATAATTATCAAGTGTATTATTATTATTATTATTATTATTATTATTATTATTATTATTATTATTATTATTATTATTATTATTATTACTATCAGTATATGTGTTTCTTTCTTTTTTTCTCTTTTGTAAAATGAATGCCTGGACAATATACTGTATTCAAAAATACTTATGTATAAATAAAAAACTTGACTTAAAAAAAAAAGATGGGTAGTCCTCGACTTACAACCACAATGGAGCCCAACATTTCTGTTGTTAAGTGAGACATTTGTTAAGTGAGCTTTGCTCCATTTTATGACATTTCTTGCTATAGTTGTTAAGTGAATCAGTGAAGTTGTTAAGTTAGTAACACAGGTTGGTAAGTGAATCTGGCTTCCCCATCGATTTTGCTTGACAGGCGGTTGCAAAAGGCGATCGTGTGACTCCAGGACACTCCAAGTGTCATAAGTAAGAGTCAGTTGCCAAGCATCTGAATTTTGATCATGTGACCCCGGGGATGCTGCAAACGTTGTAATTGTGAAAAATAGTCCTGTCACTTTTTTAGCGCCATTATAACTTTGAATCGTCACTAAATGAACTGTGGTAAATCAAGGACTGCCTGCATTCTGCTTGACGTGAAGCTTATAGTGCCGTGACATGCCACAGGTGGCACGCAGAGCCATTTGTGCAGGCACGCGAGCCCCACCCCCTTACCTGCACTGCGCATGCGTGCTCCTCCCAGTTGGTTTTCAGGCCGTTTGAGGCCATTTTTGCCCTCCTGGTGACTTGAGGGAAGCCTCTGCAGCCTCGGGTGGCCGAAAAAGGGGCCTTCCGGAAATATCGGAACTGCCGAAACAGGCCCGTTTTCAGCCTCCTGAGGCTCCAGCAGCTTCCCTCGAGTCTCCAGGAGGGCAAAAATGGCCTCAAACGGCCTGAAAATCAACTGGGAGGAGCACGCATGTGCAGTGCAGGTAAGGGGGTGGGGGTGTTGCACACACATGCGCGGGGGAGCGCATTGTTATCACGCACGCATGTGCTTTCAGCACACCACATGTGAATCAGATCTTTTATAATGTATTTTCACCATCCTTCCTCTGGAATTCATTGCAGTGGCGTTCAGCTCATCGAACGCGAAGAAGAAGTGTGCATTTTCTATGAAAAAATAAACATTCAGGAAATGATGAGCCGAAATGGTGACATTGAGATTAATGTGATGGATGAGAAAATACGGTATCTGAAACTGAAGATGATCGAGAAAAAAAGGCAGATTGAATTACATGTCAAAATGTTGCCAACCAAGAGGACTCTTGATGCTGATTTAGTGGTGCTTCAAATTCAGGTATGCAAGTGAAGGCGCATTTTCCCAAGATTTTTGTTTTAAATTTTAAGATAATAAGCTGGAATTTCTCCATCTGATAACCGGGTTAGAAGCTTCTTCCTGGTTGAGCTGATTATAATCTTTGCTGAGTTAGCGCTCAGAATGAATAATAATAATACTTTATTGCCATTGTACATATATACACAGCATCCATTGTTCTGACCCAGGCTTCGTCAAACGTACTGAAACACAAGCTTGTTTGAAAAGCAGAATCTATTTCAATGTTCCATTGGGATACCCATATCAAAATAACTTACCTTATGTCTGGCCAGAACTTGAAAATAACATTTAAAGTAGCACGGTATTTAAACAAAATGATTTGGTTGAGATCTGCATATGTGGGATTGATTGGGGTAGATTGCAAGGGCGACTCCGAAATATAATGTTATTATATTTTATCTATATCTTAAATTATTGTACATTATTACAATTTTATTTTGGATTGTATTTTATTACTATTATATCTTAAATCATATTTTGTCTAGATTCCATTTTAAATTGTATTTTATCAAGTTCCATTTTAAATAGTATTTTATCAAATTTCATCTTGAATTGCTTTTATTAAATTTTAGTAACAAATTGTTGCTGGAACTTTGCACTTTGATATGGCCCAAGGGCTAATCAATAAAGACTTATTATTATTTCAATGCAATGCTGGGAATTACTTTCATTTTCCAGCCAGAACTCATTACACACAGTTTCCCAAGATAAGCCCACTCTTGTCAGTGCTGGGGAATGCTGCCAAAACCAGAAGTCTCCAAAGTAATTATAACAGAACCCACCTAAAGTATCAGAAAAAAACGACCAGAGTACAGAGCTTCAAGAAGGACTCGGAATATATTGAACTGCTTTGCTTCCTGCAAAGGTTTCGTCATTGAGGTCTGACTTTTATCCCTCTTGGGAGGGGCAAACACCTCCCAGCCTTACTCCCGAGTCTCCCCTTCTGCTTCAGCTGCTCTCGCCTTCTAGCACATGTGCACTGGGAACAGGCTCCCCTGGGTCCTCTGCCTCACTGCTGCCAGACTCCGGAGGTCCGGAGGCAGCACCCCACTAGAATACTTTAGAATACTTTATTAGCCAAGTGTGATTGGACACACAAGAAATTTGTCTTGGTGTAAATAATCTCAGTATACATAAAAGAAAAGATACATTCGTCAGGAGTCGAGAATCATAAGGTACGACACTTAATGCTAGTCATAGGGTACCATAAGCAATCAATCATACTAGGAAACAGTCAATATAAATCGTAAGGATACAAGCGACAAAGTTACAGTCATCCAGTCACAAGTGGGAGGGGATGGGTGATAAGGACTGATGACAAGATTAATAGTAATAGTAGTGCAGACTTTGTAAATAGTTGGACAGTGTTGAGGGAATTATTTGCTTAGCAGAGTGATGGCTTTCAGGGGAAAACTGTCCTTGTGTCTAGTTGTTCTGGTGTGCAGTGCTCTATAGCGTCGTTTTGAGGGTAGGAGTTGAAACAGTTTGTGTCCAGGATATGAGGGGCCTATAAATAATTTCACAGGCTTCTTTTTGACTCGTGCAGTATACAGGTCCTCCATGGAAGGCAGGTGGGTAGTAATTGTTTTTTCTGCAGTCCTAATTACTCTCTGAAGTCTGTGTCTGTCCTGTTGGGTTGCAGAACCAAACCAGACAGTTATAGAGGTGCAGATGACAGGTGGTCCTCCCAGATGGTCCTGGCCCCATCCCTGCATCGGATGCAGGGCCCTCATCCGAGTTCTGTCCAGACCACCTGACTGGTCCCCTTTCTTCCTCACTGTCCGATACCTCTACCATCTGCACCGGCTGCTGCCGAACCACAACAATTTTAAAAGTTTGCTATCTGCCAATCTTCATCCTCCGGCTAACTCAATTTTTGTTTGCTTTCTTTTATCTGCTTTGCTTCAGTTTTCTCCCTCAGTGTCTCCAGATTGGGACTGAGCTTGGAAACTTAAGTGTATCATATTTGAACTGCAAAAATCCAAGGGATCTAACTAAGGGCTGCTGGATTTCTGCAAAGCAAGGATGGTAGCCCCATTGAAGGCAATAGGAGAATGTGCAGGCACCAGACTGGCTTGGCTAAGTTTCCAAGGTGCGTGCATTGTGATGAGGAAGGAAATGGACAAAGCAGACAGTTGAGCTGACTGGCACTTTCTCAGACAGCCTCTTTACTTCCCTTCCTATTACCAGGTCAAATTTAATAAAGGGGGAGTCTAGAGGATAAATCATGTAAAAATGATGTTCAGACTCTGGAAGGAGTGCAGAGAAGAGCAACAAAGATGATTAGGGGACTGGAGGCTAAAACATATGAAGAACGGTTGCTGGAACTGGGTATGTCTAGTTTGATGAAAGGAAGGACTAGTGGTAACATGATAGCAGTGTTTCGATATCTCAGGGGCTGCCCCAAAGAAGAGGGAGTCAAGCTAATCTCCAAAGCACCAGAAGGCAGGACAAGAAGCAATGGGTGGAAACTAATCAAGGAGAGAAGCAACTTGGAACTAAGGAGAAATTTCCTGACACTGGAAGTTTTTAAAAAGATGTTGGATAACCCTTTATCTGAAGTAGTGTAGGATTTCCTCCTGCCTAGGCAGGGGGTGGACTAGAAGACCTCCAAGGTCCCTTCCAACTCTGTTATTCTATTCTATTCATGTGATGAATGATTGAGGGGACTAGGTATCTCTAGTCTGTTACAAATCTTTATTTGTTGATTAGTCCTTGGGCCATATCAAAGTGCAGAGTTCCAGAGACAAATTATTACTAAAATTTGATAAAAGCAATTTAAAATGGAATTGGATAAAAATACGATTTAAAATGAAATTGGAATAAACTACGACTTAAAATGAAATTGGAATAAAATACAATATGTCTAGTCTAACGAAGAGAAGGACTAGGGGTGACATGATAGCAGTCTTCCAGTATTTGAGGGGCTGTCACAAAGAAGAGGGAGTCAAGCTATTATCCAAAGCACAAGTAACAACGGATGGAAACGAATCAAGGAGAGAAACAATTTCTCGTACTAAGGAGAAATTTCCTGGCAGTGGGAACAATTAATCAGTGGAATGGCTTGCCTTCAGAAATTGTGGGTGCTCCCATCAACTGGAGGTTTTTCAAGAGATTGGACAGCCATTTGTCTAGAATGGTATAGGGTCTCCATTCACCATTCTTCAATGGCTGGCTGGGGAATTCTGGGAGCTGAAGTCCACAAGTCTTAAGGTTGCCAAAGTTGGACACCCCTGCATTTAAATGTTCACTCTTATATAGGCAGAGGCCTAAGTATATGTGAGGTAGGAGATTTTGTGGCCTGCCAATGCTTCTGCAATGTACATGGGTCATTTGCTGATTTCTCCTCTAGAATTAGATCTTCATCATGGCCTTTTTTTAAAAAATGAAAGCGCAAATAAGGAACTTAAGAGTTCCTCTTCTGAACCGAAACAGATCCTCCTTCAAGATTCACAGAGCAAAGATTTATCCACCACAAATGCAGAGGTTTCCTTCCCTTGTTCAAAGGACATGCTCCAAAACCCTGCTCCAAAAATTAACCTCCCCAGAGCAACAGATCAAGTTGTCGGGTGTTATGATCCGTTGTCTAGAAACCATTCTAATATAAATCCTAAATGTACTTTCACTCCTGTTGCTGTCAAACAATGAGTCAATTCAACCAAACAGTTCTAAGATACAACTCTAAGATATAACAGAAGATAAACTCTGTTTCGATTTTAATCCTTGCTTTAAATAGTCAAGAGCTGCTTGATTGTGGACAATCGCTTAAATGTGAGCCAGCAGTATGTTGCAGCTGCCAAAAAAAGCTAACGCAGTTCTAGGCTGCATTATAGAATCAAGATCACCTGAAGTGTTAATACCACTTTAATAATACCTTGGTAAGACCACACTTGGAATACTGCATCCAGTTTTGGTCACCATATTATGGAAAAGATGTTTGGAAAAAGTACAGAGAAGAGCAACAAAAATGTTTAGGAAACTGGAGGCTAAAACATGGAATGATTACTGGAATTGGGTATGTCTGGTTTAATGAAAAGAAAGATTAAGGGTGAGAGGATAGCAGTGTTTCAATATTTCAGGGGCTGCCACAAGGACTCCAAGCTATTCTCTAAAGCACCTGGAGGCAGGACAAGAAGCAATGGATGGAAACTAATCACGGAGAGAAGCAACTTAGAACTAAGGAGAAATTTCCTAATAGTGAGAACCATTGACCAGTGGAACAGCTCACCTCCAGAAGTTGTGGGTGCTTCATCACTGGTGGTTTTTAAGAAGAGATTGGACAAACATTTGTCTGGAATAGTATAGATTTTCCTGCTTGAGCAGGGGATGGACTAGAAGACCTCCAAGGTCCCTTCGAATTATGTTGTCAGATCTCCCCACTAAATGACAAAAGAAATATTGTGAACTGCCTCCCTGTAGGGACATTCCTTTCTTTCTGAAAATGCATGCTTACTCTTGACCTTATCAGCAAATTGCAAATTTTCCCCCCATGGTATTTTTTTTTATTCATTCCTGCATTGAGTTCTTACTTTTGACATATTTTTAATAGTTAACAAAAGTCTGTGTGGCTAAACTGAAACACAAAGCTACAGCTCTACTTGTTTGTTTGTTTTAATCAGCCAAAAGTTAGACCCCATTAACAATTTATGAAGCAAATTAAATATTTGCTTTGGTTACTGTCTTCTTCTAAACACATTCCTTATTTATTGGCTGCATAACCTTTGAACAGTTAATGTTTTCTCTGGCAAAAGATGTTAATAAAACATGTACTCCAACTGGCCTATGGGGCATGACTTTGGTACACCCCATAGCTGTGTTTTTATTTACCCCCTTAATTTACTTGATATATTGAACTGTTTGCAGTACAATTTAAAACCGAGATCTTAACTCAGCATTTTTTTAAAGGCAAGTAAAGTGCACGGTTTAAAATTAACTGCAATTAAAAGCTTTTCAAAAAATATGGATTTTAAAGGCTTCTTTGAAAGTTGAGAAGGGACCTTCAACTCTGCAGAATGTTTTCAAAAGCTTTAGCAGCAACAGATGAATGGTTGCAATTTTCTTGACAGTGAGAATAATTAACCAGTGGAAAAGCTTGCCTCCAGAAGTGGATGTGGATGCTCCATCATTAGAGGTTTTTAAGAAAAGCCTTAAAAGAAGTCTAACAATCACCTCCATTATTTAGACATGGAGGCATCTTGCCTTTCCTCAGCGATACTTTTATGATGTTAAACAAAGTATGTTTAATAATTCCCAGCAGAAGCTATAAGCCAGGCTGGACGTGGATCTTGAAGACAAACATTAAATATATTGCTCTGGGCAGTTTGTCCACATTCTCAGTTGAATGCTTGGTGCTCTCTAAACTTGATGGTTTTCTTGCAGGTATTTCATTACCAAACTAGGTAACATCATTAGTGCACTGATGATGTTACCTAGTTTGGTAATGAAATGTCTGCAAGAAAACCACGAAGCTCAGAGAGTACCAAGGACCCCACAGTTCAACCCTGAGCTATGATATTTTTCTTATATTGGTACATTCTCAGGCGTCATAAATGGAAATTGATCTAGTTCTAATTACTTTAATAGACACCAGCAAGCTGAATCTTATGTTACAGGTGGCATTCACACACCAGTACATAGAAGAGATTTTTATTCACAAAAATAAATCACTGAAAGTCCACAAAGGACAAATGGCTGCAAAAAATGATGGAGTTAGCAGGAATGGTTTAAATTGACTGCTTTGATCAAAGAAAAAACAAAAAATACTTTTGCTTCTACATGGAAATTACTTTTGGACTTTGAGTTTGAGGTAGAAAAAAAAATTGATTTTGAAGTTTGATTTTGGGTTTTGCTGATTTGGTATGTTTGGTGTTACAGAAATGGCAAATATATATTATCATCTATAAGTAAAAAGTTGAGGTTTTATGTCACTACTATATTTTACTGCATCAAAAGGAATTGGAAGTCAATGCTTTTCTTTTCTCCGCCTTTCCCCTCCCCCTTTCCCTCTTCCTCTTTTTCTCTCTTATTTTCCCCTTATTTACATTTTTCTTTGTATTTTTGTATTTTATATTGTGATAACCTAATAAAATACTTAAATCCTTTTAAAAAGCCACAGCGAACACAACTTTTGAGGACCCTGTAACCAAACGCTAGAGGACTTAGCCTTAATGAAATAGCTCATTACACTAGTCCTCACCGTAGACAAGAGAGCAAGGAGAAAAAATGGACGATAGAATCCATCCTTTTAACAAGAATGCTAGGTATTCCTTAATCTGGTATCTAGCTGAGCCAATTTCCAGCTATTTGGAGAGGAATCTTTGTCAGTGAGTCCCAAAGGTGCTTTTTTTCAACTGGCAACTGGACTTTCTGGTTTTTCTTTGAAGACGTTTTGCTTCTCATCCAAGAAGCTTCTTCAGCTCTGACTGGATGTGGGGAATGCAGACAGCTCTTTGCAGACAACTGGTCATTTGCATCTTCTTAGAGAGTCGTTGAGGCCACTTGGAGGTTTATCTGTGTCCTCAGAGTCACTTGAGTGGTGCAAATGGGTGTGGAGTCTTCTTGGAATTGCTGAAAGGACTGTTGTAAACTGGAGATAAGAGGATGTCATTTATCTCCAGTCTACAACACAGCCGACAACATAGTTCTTTCCAAGATGGCTCCACAGCCATTTGTACCACTCAAGTGACTCTGAGGACACAGATAAACCTCCAGGTGGCCTCAACGACTCTCTAAAAGGATGCAAATGAACAGCTGTCTTCAAGGAGTATAAATCCTTCCGTTCCATCCTAGTCAGAGCTGAAGAAGCTTCTTGGATGAGAAGCGAAACGTCTTCAAAAGAAAAAACAAGAAAGACCAATTGCCTCCTGAAAAAAGCACTTTTGGGACAACCATGATCTGGATGACTGAGAATCTCCATAGACTGTCAGTGAGTTTTTACTGAGTTGTTTATAAGTGTGCTTTGAATATAATATGCAGGATGGCAGGGACCAATGTCAGCAAATGTGAACATTGTATATTGCTATCCTGCCGCACATTTAAGTGTTCACTGTAACGATAACTACATCCTGTTATTTGGAGGTACCTGCACTTTTTTCCACTTAACACTTTGCATTTTGTAGCACAGAGCAACCTGTTTGTCTGTTGTGGATTGTCACAAACATATGTCATTTTCCTGAAATGTAGCTGTCCAGCCAATTTTTAAAACAAAATGTTCTCGGGAAAGGGACATCATTTTTTTTAATCTTATTTTCTCACATTAATTCTCTCCTTCCCTTTTAAGTGATTCTGCTGAGGTTCTAATTTTTTGGAGGGTGATGTTTTCACCTTTTTCCTGTGATACAAGTTAACTGCTGAGAACAGGAAGCAAGTGAATGGTGTAGCTTTACAAGAAAAAAAAAAGAGAAGTAGAAACTCCAGAGAATGAATCACCTGCTGATTCTTTTGAGGAAATGCTCATTTTTGTGGCCGAGGCCTGTTTTCTTAGAATTTGTTGTGCCAAAAAAAAAAAAAAAAAACCAACCCAGAAAGAAAGGAACAAAGAGAGAGAGATAGACAGAAAGAGAAAGAAAGAGAGAAAGAAAGAGAGAGAGAGAGAGAGAGAGAAAGAAAAAGGTAGAAAGGGAAAAAGAGAGAGAAAGAAAGAGAGAGAGAAAGAAAGGGAGAAAGAAAAAAGGGAGAAAGGGAAAGAAAGAAAAAAGAGAGAGAAATAAAGAGAAAGAGAGAGAGAGAGAGAGAGAGAAAGAAAGAAAGAAAGAAAGAAAGAAAGAAAGAAAGAAAGAAAGAAAGAAAGAAAGAAAGAAAGAAAGAAGAAAGGAGAGAAAGAAAAAAGGGAGAAAGGGAAAGAAAGAAAAAGAGAAAAAGAAAGAGAAAGAAAGAAACAGGGAGAAAGGGAAAGAAAAGGGAGAAAGAGAAAGAAAGAAAAAGAAAAAGAAAGAGAAATAAAGAGAAAGAGAGAGAAAGAGAAAGAAAAGAAAAGAAAAAAGAGGTTAGGTCCAATTAGTCTGTGAAAGAGAATCTTTAATTATTCTAGTATTTTGTTTTGTAATGATGAAGAATACAAATGCTGCCTTACCAAACCAGTTGCTTAAGATATCTATTTGTTGATCTTTTAAAAATAGTTTTCACAATGCAAGGACAAAATTAAAAGCCTGGAGAAGCAGTTTACCGACCCAGACCGAGAAAACAGAGTAAGAGCATTGCCTGGAAAGGACCCCTCCATTCAAGAGCTCTTCAAGAAGATAGAGGAGGTAATATCCATCCTGCCAGAAAAACCCTTGCAGCAAATAACTGTGTTCCATATTAAGTGGATTTTTTTTTT